CTCCCTTGAGCCACTCCAGCAGCCTTTTTTTGTGATGATTTGTTTCAAGAGAGGGTCTCAAGAACTATTTGCAAAATGTTTTTGTTTTGAGGTAAAACAAAACAGGTCTAATCAATACTTCTATGAATATCCCTTCCAGGTCCTTCCTGTGTCCTTCTTTTTTCTTTTTTTTTGGTAGTGGTGTTTGAACTCAGAGTTTCATGCTTGCTAGGCATGCATTCTACGCCGCATACACCATGCCTCCACCACCTTTGTCCTTCTTGCTATTCACTCACAGTACCATCATTCAGCCAAAGTATGACCTTAAAAAATTTTTTTTGTGGTACTGGGGTTTGAACTCAAGGCCTACACCTTGAGCCACGCTGTCAGTCCTTTTTTTGTGTTAGGTCTTGCAAACTATTTGCCCTGGCTGGCTTGGAACCGCAATCCTCCAGATCTCTGTCTGACTTCAATGACAGTAGTAGAGGTATATACAGAAGTACAGTGCCATGTTCAAAATGTTTAAGAACTATCTATCATGAAAATAGTAGCATACTCTGATTTACAAAAGGATTGAATAATCTAAAATATGAGAAGTTCTTCATTTCCTATAAAATAATCTGCCTTTAGTGACTCTCACTCCCAAAGATATTAATAGATTTTCAGTAAGTGTTATGATAATATTGTTATGTTGTTTATGTTATATAACTTACATGAAAAATGTGCAAACATCTCAAACTAGATAGCATTTACTGTAAAGTGGTTATCACTTATTTAAAAAGTTTCCCGAAATCTTTTTTCTTCCAATAAAAGCACTTTATTTTTACTTTTTCTCCTATATACACTTAATATCTGTAACATTTATAATAAACATATGTGCATATAAGTACATGACATTCACCCATACATCCCTGGCTCTGCCATATCCTTTTATCAGTAGCATTTCTCCTATGACTTCTCATTTTTAGAAAATTGGCAACTTTATCATACATTGATAAAATAACTATGGTCAAAGCTGAAAGACATACAATTAAAAATATAAAATGTGTGAAAATATAAGATAGCATACATCTGTATCTAAAGACAGGGAAAAGACTGATTAGAGCTTAAAAATCTCAAGATGATTTTTAAGGCAAATCCATAGTGTTCCAGGTACAAACTGAGAAATCAAAGCTAATAAAACAGCTTCGCTGACTGTGTAAATTCAATGAAATTCTTTCCAAATAAAAGTTAAAAGAACTTAGAATATTTAAGATTATTTACATAATATCTGGTACTTATAGTTTTTGACACAAAAGGCTGTGGTTTTGCTTATTTTTAGCCCCTAATCAAATCTTTCTCTGTTTTTTTTCAAGACTTTCACTATTCTTTTTTTTTTTTTTTGCAGTACGGGGTCTTGAACTCAGGGTCTATACTTCGAGTTACTCTACCAGCCCTTTCTTGTGATGGATTTTTTCTGAGATAAGGTCTTCTGAACTATTTGCCCAGGCTGGCTTCAAACTTCAATCCTCCTGATCTCTGCCTTCTGAGTAGCTAGGGTTACAGGCACAAGCCACGGGCTCCCAGATCTCTAGGCTTACCTAGGCTTAATTTATTAAATTTGAGATACTCCATCCATGAGAGATGGTACTTGCTTTCAAAATGTTAATTAAATTATTACATAGAAAGTGTAAAGCTAGCACTCTTGCATGTGCTATACTGGCCAGGTAGCCTGTTGTCCCAGCACCTGGGAGGCTGAGGCAGGAGTACTGCAAGTTGCAGGCTAATCTGCCCAATGTAGCTAGATCCTACCCCTCCCCCTAAACAAAATAAAACAAAACAAAACCAGAATACTACCAGTGTTATTAGGAGTGGCTACTCTCCGAGGCCAGGGAAGGCTTTTCTGAGATCAAGGTGCCGTGAGATGTGCAGCACTGGGAAGTAGCAGGAAGAGAGGTCATTGTGCCTTCTGGATAAAGGGCATAGCATAGAGCTGGGCATCAGTGGCTCACGCCTGTAATCCTCGCTACTCAGGAGGCAGAGATCAGGAGGATTGAGGTTTGAAGGCAGCCTGGGTAAATAGTTCGCAAAACCCTCTCTCAGAAAAACCCACCACTAAAAAGGGCTGGTGGAGTGGCTCAAGGTGTGGGCCCTGAGTAGTTTAAGCCCCAGTACTGAAAGAAAAGAAAAAAAAAAAAAAAGAAAAAGACAGGGCATGAGAAAAGGCCCTGTGATGGGAGAGAGGAGAGAGCACAGCACCTATAAGGCCCTGAAACAGGCTTTAGAAATTATATTTTTGTTATTAATTGGTTATTTATGGGTTACAGTCTGACATTTCAATACATGCATATGGTATGTAAAGATCAGATCAGGAAATCGGCCTATCTATCACCTCAGATAGCTATTATTTCTTTGTGTTGGGATTGCTGAATCTTTTAAATTAGGTTTTTTGGTGTTATTATTGTTGAAAAAGTTAATATATGTCTCTGATATAAAATCTGAATACAAAAGAAAACAAAATGTAGAGGAATTTACCTTTCTATTGTAGATCCATGGTCTCTACTGTCAGAATGAATTTAATATATATTAAACTATAAATAACTAAAAATAATGGAATATAGTATATTTTCTTTGAAAAAGTGGAAGCATAGCTATATATTGTTTGGCAAGTTGTTTTGCTGTCCTGAAAATTAGAGACCCTGATATATAATGTGTACCATCCTTTTCCTGCGTCTTGCCATAGTTAACCACCATAGAGCTATAGTGTGTCCATCTAACCAGTCTCTGAAGGATGTATAATTAAGCTGCTTTCTATGCTTTTGCTATTAAAAATAGTCAGTAGGAACTAGGGTTTAAACACAGAGCTTTACACTTGCAAAGCAGATGCTCTACTGTGTGAGCCACACCTCCAGAACATTTTGCTACGGTTATTTTGGAGATGGGCTCCAAAATAGCCTATGGCTAGGCTGGTCTCAACCTTGATCCTCCTGATCTCAGCCTCACAAGTTGCTAGTATTACAGGCATGAAGGATAAATTCCTGAGTCAAATCTCCTACAAGTGAAATTCTGGGTCATAAAAATGAGTGTTTTAAATCCTTGAAAGATAACATTAAACTGCCTTCCAATAAAGTCTTTTTTATTTATGATAGCAAAAATCAGCCTAATTTAAAGCATTTATTTTGGCTTCTTTTTTTTTTTTTTGCCAGAACCGGAATTTGAACTCAGGATCTCACACTTCCAAAGCAGTCATATCACTTGAGTCACACCTCCAACCCTATGCCATTTTATAAAGAATCCTTTATTGCAGTGACACTAAAGAAAATGTCTAAGCTGGGTGCTGGTGGCTCATACCTGTAATCCTAACTACATGACAGACTGAGATCAGGACGATCTGGGTTCAAGGCTTGCCCAGGGAAAAATAAGGTTGCGAAACCCCCATATCCAAAATAATAAATGAGCAAAATGAACTGGAGATATGGCCCAAGCATTAGAGCACCTGCTTTGCTAGTGCAAAGTCCTGAGTTCAAACCTCAGTTGCACCAAAGGGGAAAAAAAGGAAGAAAAAAAAGAAAATGTCTATATTTAAGCAACTTGGGATTTGTCAACAAGTACTAAAGTAAAACTAATCGGAGCTGTCTAAGATCCTCCTGATACCCACGTGCTATATCACGTCATAAAATAATATACCCATGTTTAGATATGTATAACTGTTGAAATATATTGCAATTGACAACCTGTTATATTTTAAAAAGAGGAACATTAATTAAATATCAATATCTGTTAGTACTTTGGAGACCATTAATTACCTCTCCTCCCTGTGTAAAAATTTGGTGAGCCTGCAAAACCTCATATGCCCTTAGACACTGTTCCTTTAGTGCAGTGTCTCTGAAGCTAATTTGAAAAGCAAATTGTCTTTCTTGTTCTTCATATCTTTCTTTCAAAGGGCACATCTTAAAGAGTTGCTTATTCTTTACTCTCTCCTTTTCTTAATTCATTTGACACACTTTCAGATTTTCAGCTAATCCTTTGCAGTGACACAAATACTCTGAAATTCCCTAGTCACAGAAAATATCACAATGGTAATTAGGCCAAGTCTGTGCTGTTTGTGGAGCAGGATTTTTGTTTGTGTTCAAGGACTGATCCTTCTTCTGAGAATAGAGCTTTGGGTGCAGGTGAGTGGTAAATTGTTACACTAGACTGCTTCCTTTTTCCTGCAGGGTTGCTGTTAATTGGGTAACAATGAAGGCATTTTGTGTGAGGTTTTGAGGTTTCAAGAAGTTTTCAAAGCCACATTATCTTTCTCATCAGGCAGTTTCTCTGAGCACTTCAAAAGAAGATAATGATGTTCTAAACAGCTCAAGTTTGGGTAGCTTTTAGAAAGCTGCCAATAGTTCTGCGTCCTCAGTACTTAAAAATTTGATCCTCACTCCTGTTTCAACCGTGGTAAGCACTGGGGGCATTACAGAGTTCAGTGCACCTTACAAGGAAGCCTGCCTACGATTAATGAGAATCCAAGTTGCAAATGTGGCTGTTTTCCTATAGAATCTTCACGCTAGCGTTTGCATCTTTCAAAAATGGTCTCAGGACAAAGGGTGGCGGGGTCAGGGGCACAGGCTGTTGTAAGAACAGGCTATTTGGCCTGTTTGCAGGTCCTAGGTTTTAATACCGAGCAAGCCTCTCTCCATGTCTTGGGCACACCTCTGGCCTGAGGTCACACAGACACCCGGGTGGTTCACAGGAGTCACATGGCAGCTTCCCCAGGCTGGCATTCAGGAATGATTCCTGCAGGGACCAACACCACGTGGACGCACAGACTCCTGCTGCCCCTCACTTTCAGTACGGGATGGGCGGTGTGGGAGACTCTCCAGGCAACGCCTCTGCTGCCAGCCAATGAGGAGCGGAGACTGCATCGGGGCCTTCGCTCATTGGGCCGTGGCGGCCCCGCCCCGCGGTGATTACAAGCCTCTTGGTGGCTAATGAAGTCTCAGCCTCAGAGTCTCGGTGGCTGGCTTTTTGTGCGCAGCGGGTTGACTCAGCCAGTGTGCTTCTGCTCTCTCCAGCCCTGACGCCCCGGTTTCCTACTTACTTCTTTTTCGCTTTTTACCTTTCTCTTTCCTTCGCAGTTCAGCATGCAGAAACAAGACGCCTCCTCGCACGGGTTCCTGCCTAGCTTCCAACATTTCGCCACGCAGGCCATCCATGCGGGCCAGGAACCGGAGCAGTGGAACTCCCAGGCTATGGTGCCTCCCATCTCACTGTCCACCACGTTCAAGCAAGGGGCGCCCGGCCAGCATTCGGTGAGCTGGGCCTGTCTGGGTGCTGTCCAGGCAGGCTGGGCGGGAAAAGAGAGATGGCTTATAAATTAACAAGGCATGCAAGTGATTTATAAGGAGTATTAGGAAGGCACCTGAAAGGATGTTTCTACACTGCAATCATTGCTTTATGCTTTGTATCAGTTGGCCCAGTGATCCTATTTCTTTTGATAAGCAGGACGGGAAGGGGCAGTTTATTGAATTTGCCATGTAGATTTGGACTGAAATTCATGTGATTTTGGCAAAATCTCAATTAAAAAACGAAGGTCATAACTTCTTTGAATTATTCTTAGCAGCAAAAAGTTTAAAGATTTTGTAAGGAGTCAGCTTAGACAAATGATAACTAGAGTTAAGATCATTCCCAAGAGCCGTATTTAAGTTAGTCATTGTTGAGTGTCTACAATGTGCCAGATACATATGTAAACAAATCGTGTGTGTCTTATCTATTCCTAACAACAAAACTATTCTGAATAACAAAGCTAAATAAAGGCTCATCATTGATGGAGGCCAGTTCCAAACACCCTCTAGAGTCCCATTCTGAGGTGCTGGTAATAATTTAACGCATTGCACCACATAAGCATTGTAGTTCAGTGATTCAGAGCACAAGTCATGTAGTCAAAGGACATCGGCTTGATTTCTGAGTTTGGTAATCTTGAGGAAGTTATTTAATCTATCCAAGCCTCAGATTAGTCCTGCATAAATGGAGATAATAAAAGTACCTGCCACATAAGTTGCTGATGTTTGTAAATCTAAATGGTGAATAATAATTACTGAGTGGTAAGCTGGTGTTTCACAGAGTTCACATTTACACATTTCCATTTCGTCATCACAACAACCTGGTTAGAGTGCAGGCCAGGTTCTCTGTACTTTTTATAGAAAAAGACCTGATCCAGACTCATACAAAAAACGACCCGTAAAGCCCATGTGACAGTCTTTTGATATTCCATAGTTTTTTTTTTTCTTTTGGTGGTATACTAGATGATTTTTGGAGTATTTAAAAGTTACTGGGGCTCAGAAGAAATTAGTGAAATAAACTTTAGAGGTCCCAAACTTTAATTATGAGATACTTTCTGTGTTATTTAAGACAAGGGAAAACTCTTACAGACTTAGTCCTTTGGTTTGTGAGGTTGAGTTGTAAGGGCGCTTCTACAACTGGTAGCTATTGTACTTTGGAGTAAAAATGTCTAGAAAATCTTTCTTCCAAGCATGCAGTTTGTTCCTTGTGTAGGTTTACTGAATGTAAACCAAGCTTTAGAATTTAGCCCAGAAGTTAACCATTCAGGTATGATATTAGTAATTAAATGTTTTTAGAAGGCCAGCAGGGATGCTTAAATCTGCAGTCAGCTTTATGCCTTTAAATAATCAGTTAAAAGCATTAAAGGGAATTTGAAGAGCTGAAAGAGAGGCCTCTAATTCTTTAGTTCCATTCGAAAATCCATTGAGTGGATGAGGCTGAAATATGCTTCTTCTCCTCCCACAAGTGAGTATTTGTGGAAGCATATGGTTCCTTTCTATGGCTACTGCCCATGAATCCAAGCTTTTTTTCTTTGGCTTGGAGGGTACAGCTGCAGGTGATTGAAAGGAGGTTGTGGTAGGAGTGCTGAGGATGTCCTGAAGCTCTATAAAATGTGTCTGCTCAGTTTGTCAAAAACAAGGAAACAACACAATGAAATTTTTAAAAGATTTTATTAGTAATTCTGGGAGCTCCCAAATCAGAAACCAAGATGTAAGGAGTGGTTTTGTTATGTTATATGCTATATGAGCCAGGGGGGGAAACTTACAGTTTTTTATTTGTTTTATTTTTTATTTTTGTGGGACTGGGGTTTGAACTTAGGAAAGTAGGCACTCTACCACTTGAGCCACACCCCCAGTCCATCTTGTTCTGGTTATTTTGGAGATGTGGTCTCATGAACTATTTGCCAGGGCTGGCCTCAAACCTCCAGCTCTCAGCCTTCTAAGTAGCTAGGATTACAGGTGTGAGCCACCTGGTGCCTGGTTTGGATTTTTTTTTTTTTTTTTTTGGATATCTATGTATGTATTTTTTTTTTATTGTTGTACTGGGGATGCATTGTGACATTTACACAAGTTCTTACAGTATATCATAGTCAAATTCACCCCCTCCATCATTCTTCCTCATCTCCCTTCTTCCCATATATTGTATACACATGTATATAAATGGAAAAATGAAACCTGTTAAAACTATTCCGGTTTGGACTTTTAATCAATATTCACATCTTAGGTTTGGCTTCTGACTGTGACACCTCTGAGGTCCTATAACATTTGGCTTCACTTTACTTAAAGCAGGTCATGAGGTTAAATAAAATGACTAGATGAATATATATACTGTGGTACCATAACTGGAATAGGAGGATAAAGAAAAGTTTTAAAAAGTATCGTGTGATGGTGCTTTCACAAGAATAACCTTCCATTTTTTGGAGTCTCTTTTGTAGACCTAAGATCTGAACCACAATGGTAGGGTCTGTTCATAACTTTTTGTTGTGTGCTAAATAGAACTTGCATCTCTTATTTCTTAGGAAATGAAATACAGGATAGAACCAGGTCACTCTGTTGGCTCATATAATTCCCTTTTCTTTTTTTAGGTGTTCCTGGGATTTGAATTCAGGGCCTCACACTTGCTAGGCTGACTAGGAGGCACTCTACCACTTGAGCCACTCTGTGAGCCCTGTTTTTTGTATTGGGTTTTTCAAGATAGGGTCTCTCAAATGATTTGCCTCAGGCTGGCTTCGAACCACTATCTTCCTGATCTCTGCCTTCGTGGTAGCTAGGGTTATAGGCGTGAGCCACCAATGCCCAGTATATTTAATTCCCTTTTCCTAATGTCTCCAGACAATAGGTGAATCTAACATGGTAATGATGCTGTACAAATATTAAAAATTGCCACTTGTCTTGTGGTTAGCATGGATCATGAAACTTGCAGTGAACTTATACCTTATCTCATTTTATCCTGACAACAATTGCACGAAGTAGATATCTATATCCCCCCTCCCACAGATATTGAGATGGTCTCTTGAAAGTGTTGAGTTATTTACTTATTGGTACCCAGCTCATAAGTGGCAGATACATAATTCTAACCCAGTTTGATCATCTTCAAAGCCTCTCCATTATAACCACAGCCACAACACTCACACTTCTGTCTGTTGTTAAGACATCATGATTAAGAGAACCATTATGGTAGGAAGAACCCATACTTGTGGAGATATCTTCAATAGGGCTCTGATAATAAACTTAAAGCTGTTAGGATGAACTCTTCTTTTTTTCAGGGTTTTGACTACAGCCGTTCTGGAAATCCCACTAGGAACTGTTTGGAAAAAGCAGTGGCAGCACTGGATGGAGCTAAGTACAGTAGGCGACTTACATTTCCCTGTAGAGTCTAGAATCCTTTTTACATGTATAGAGATCATCACAGAGGCACAGAGTGCAGAACTGGAAAGAAATATGATTTACTTATATAAAACTTTTGTTTTAATAAGACATTGAATTCTTTGCCTAAGGTCTTTCACATGGTATAATATGTACATGTATAATAAGCATCTTGTAGAAATAAATATGTATACAGGTAAAATGCCAGGACTTACTATTTGTATTTGTGTGATTACATTCGTCATCGGAAGCTATTGATATGAATGGATAAAAATTAATTTTATAACTCTACTAATGAGAATATGAACTTTCTTATATTCTGGTTCATTCACTTAATAATTTGTGCCTAAGAATAGCACTAAAGTTTATTTGCAAAAGTCAACAACCCTTGTGATACTGTGCTCTCAGAAGTTAAGATTTAACTCCTTGGATCTTTTTTATTTCATGAGGAAAGAGGATTACTATTATCTTTGTATTTTTTCATAGGGATGATACTAAGTAAGGGCAGAATAGTGAATAGAAAATAAGAGTCATTTGTATCTATCATCATATATCATATATATTAAGGATATGTTATTCTTGAAGTAGAAAGTAGGCTTTTGTCATGGCATTGATTAGGGACTTCTGGCAACTCAACAGTGATGGCTGACCATCAGTGGAGAGAGGGACATAAATTAATGCAAGTAAATACTGTAGGTTTTCTGTTTTAATCCCTTGGGTCTGTCTTTTGGCATATTCTAATTTGATTTTTATATTAGGTTTGGCCTTTGCTTCGGGTTCAGCAGCCACTGTGATGATTACCCATCTTTTAAAAACAGGAGACCATATTATTTGCATGGATGATGTATATGGAGGTAGGTAACTCTCTAACTCATATTGCGTCAGATGATATTTTAAAGATAATAATAAAAGTGAGCTTTAAATTGTATTATCAACAATACCAGTATTATAGATCATTTATTTTCTCTCACAGTTGTGATAGGCAGCTCTATGCTGGCACAGACTTGGCAAAAGAGAAGCATAGATGCTTAGGGCTCCTGCTATGGAACTGCTTATAAGAGAGATTGTTTGATATGAATTGTTTTAAAGCTGCTGGAATAGGATTTGGACTTGATCAGCCTTTAGACATATTCTGCTCTAGAGAAGATAGTGTTTAGGGAAAATGGGTTTTAGTGTTGTTTAAAATTTTTACCTGCTGCGAGGGGAATAGTAAGGCAGGTGACTCCCAAAGAATTCAGCCCTACCCATCCCCACCCCCTCCTTATTATTTATTTATTTATTTATTTTGGTTTCAAGGTACTCTGAAAATCTTTTGACAGCTATGGAGCCTTTCCTGCCTATCCCCTCCCCACCATGTTCTTAAGACTATACCCAGTGTTTAGCATTTTAACTTTGAGTTCTCACATATTAGCCTCTTGAAGTCCATCCATGGATCCAAATTTAAGAACTTCCATTCCTAAGAGTTTACATGTTGGCTATGTGAGTGGTGAGTGGGGAGAAGACTGGCTGGTCCTCACCTTTATTTATTTATTTTTTAAATTTCTTTTATTCATATGTGCATACAATCTTTGGGTCATTTCTCCCCCTTTCCCCCCACCTCCTCCCTCTCCCACCCACTTCCTCGTTACCAGCCAGAAACTATTTTACCCTTATCTCTAATTTTGTTGAAGAGAGAGTATAAGCAATAATAGGAAGGACCAAGGGTTTTTGCTAGTTGAGATAAGGATAGCTATACAGGGAGTTGACTCGCATTGCTTTCCTGTACATATGTGTTACATTCAAAATTAATTCTTCTCGAACTAACCTTTTCTCTAGTTCCTGGTCCCTTTCTCCTACTGGCCTCTGTCACTTTAAAATTTCTGCATTAGTTCCTTTGAATTGTGTCCTCACCTTTAAATAAAACTGATTTTTGTGTGTTTGTGTGCTCAAAACAGCAGCCAAGAATTTTGTAAATGTATATATAAATTCCAAATGTTTCCAGATAATCAAAATGTGACTTCTAGAATATTATCATCTTATCTATCTCCTATCTGAACAAAAAGTTATCTCTAACTTTTCTGAAGAAAGGGACTTGTTCTTGGTCATCATTTTATCTCTCAGAAAGCTGCACTTTGCTTTGTATTTTATTTATTTATTTATTTTTGATGTGACTGAGGTTTGAACTCATGGTTTCATACTTGTTACATTAGGTTTTTATAATGGTTCATCGAATTGAAGTTATAGCAGTCTTCAATCTTTAGTAACTTTTATATTGTATCACAAAAACTTACAAGCATAGGTATAAAATGATGAAAATTATTGATTTTTTTAACAAAATTCTCTTTTTTCTTGTGGTACTGGGGCTTGAACTCAAGGCCTACACCTCAAGTCACTCCACCAGCCACTTTTTGTGAAGGGTTTTTTCGAGATAGGGTCTCACAAACTATTTGCTTGGGCTGGCTTCAGACTTTGATCCTACTGATCTCTGCCTCTTGAGTGGCCAGGATTACAGGCATGAGCCACCAGAGCATGGCCATAACGAGTTATTTTCTGCTACCAAAGTATAATCAAGTTTATTTTGAACATTCTTTTGACACTGGTTTATTTATTTTAGATTTGTTACAAAAGGTATTGAGTTTCAGGGAGCATTCTTTTAATGTTTGAAGGGTAGAGATTGAGGTTTTTGAGAAGTGTTTTCTGCTTGTGTCATTTGTTATGAGCATCACATGTGTTTTATTTGACTCTTGAACTTTTAAAGTCTAAGTCTTATTATTCTGTACTATACTGGATCTCCAATTTACTTAACTAAACTAAAATTGGTGATTGAGAATTTCTTACATTTTAAAAACAATGTTTTTTGTTTTACAAAGAGCAAACAATCCTTAACATAATGTTCTTTCCATTTTATCTGATTCTCCTCTGCCTTAGGTACGAACACGTACTTCAGTAATGTGGCAAGTGAATTTGGATTAAAGATTTCTTTTGTTGATTGTTCCCAAACCAAATTACTAGAGGCAGCAATTACACCAGAAACCAAGGTAACTGACTAGTTTTCAGTTTGTTCTGCCCTTTCTGTGCTGTCTTATTTTCATCCTTTCTGTTTGCCAGAGGATATAATTTAAATCTGAATAACAAATTTTATTAGAAGCCATTGGAAACATTGACATGATTAATATAGGCTGATATATTCCAGGCATTATAGCATAATGATTATAAATTTATATATGAATTCTGGGGTGAAATTCAAATTATGATTCTTTATCATAATTAGTGTCTTATTTTGGGCAAATTATTTAACCGTAGTCTTACTTTCTTTATTTGTAAAATGAAGGTAATCATACCTGCTTCATAGAAAGGTACTTATGAAAACTAAATGAGATAATGCATTGAAATGCTTCATTAACTACCTGGATATGTGGTAGTGTTATTTTCTATGCATGGACTGGGGATGTAACATGGTGGTAGATTCCTTGCCTAGCATGTGTGAGGCCATGGGTTCAATCCCAATACCAACAGAAATTTTTTCTGTTCAAGAGCACACAATTCTTAACTGCATTATCAAGCTAGTATGGGTAACTGGTCATCACAGAGCTTGGATTATAGAAAAGATTTTGCCAAGCTACACAACTCTAAGCACAGTGGCCTTTTCAGAGCCTTGAAGGATACTGCTGCAAATAATAGAAGTAGACAATGCTCCACCAGCAGTCTTTAGCCTCAGTCCTGGGAAGCTTGTATGTCACCGGAAGGTGTTTTGTTCCTGAGTGAATGGAAGATGTGATATTCTTTCTTGGAACCTCATTTAAATTCTGCATGAATAAAAGTACCAGTGTCTTTTATAAGTCAGCCTTTCTCAACTTTTTGCTAAGAATTAAAAGGTATCCAAGATTATGTTCAAGTGAATTCTAAAAAAATCACAATCTTTTCTCATATAATATTTTTGCAGATTAACACAGGGCTGAGCTTTTGCTCATTAGCCTTTGTTTTCAAAGGAACTTATTCATTTTTCTTGAAAGAAAAGACACTAAAATAGCTAGTCTGAGTCTTTCTTAGACAGGAAAGCAAATTGTGAATATATTAAGTTTTGTACAGAGAATTTTATATAATGGTTCTTTACTGACTTCAATTAATAGATTTTTTTTCCCCCTCTGAAATGCTAGACTTGGTATTTCAAGTCAGTTTTTTAAGTCTGCATGAAAACTATTTTGTACTTAATTTGCTTATTTTTCATTTTTATTTGTTTTTCTTTTACTATCTGTAGGAGTAATAATTTCTTAGCCAGGAATCATTTGTATAGTTCTTTGAATAAATCAAGAATTTATAGAAAATGCATTAAAAATTTGAACTACCTTATATTTTTTATAGTAAAATTCTAAAGTAGGAGGTATATTAAATTAGAAATTAGATCTCTTGCCCATTTATATGGCTAATAAAAAAAGAATCATTTGTCCCTTTAAAAAGAAAGCTGCAGATAGTGTAATTCAATATACTGGCACCTTGTTTACCAAATAGAATTCCCTCCTTTTATTTTTTTCAGTAACTATCGAATATCTACTATGTTTCTAAATTGTGGTGGGGTTGGAGGTATACATGTATACTATCAGAGCCACTCCACCTGTCCTTTTTGAGGGATGTCTTCTTAACCTGGAGGTGCATCCAGGTTTCCTGGCTGTCACTTCTCTCCTTCAGCCTAAAGCTCATGCTGTTCTTCAAGTTCTAGGTGTTTATTTAACTATTGGAGATATTTTTGGCATCATAAGCAAAATTCTGACTAATGAAAAATCCTACGATACATTCTTAAACAATCTATATTATTTATCGTTCAGAACAAAATTTCCAGACATAAAATTATGTTTTGGGAATAAGCCTCCTTTTTATAAAAAATAATTATAATAGTTAGCCTTAGCACTCTTTTGCTTAGATGTATGTTATCTCATTTTCATCCTTATAACAACTCTATAAGGTAAGCATTACCAACTCCAGATTAGGAATTGGAGGAAGACAGAGGGTAATTTACTTAGCTACGGCCTCTCAAAAGGATTCAGACTTGAACCTTCCACTTCATTGTCCATATGTTTATTATTTAATGTAAAAGCCTCCTAGGTTATTACAAAATATAAGATGTATGCTTAACTATGAGATGTGTGTTTGCACAATACATTTTCACAAACTATTGTTATTTATTGAATTATTTTAGCTTGTCTGGGTTGAAACCCCCACAAACCCTTGCTTGAAGATGATTGACATTGAAGCTTGTGCACATATAGTCCATAAGCATGGAGACATTATTTTGGCTGTGGATAACAGTTTTATGTCAGCATATTTCCAGGTAAATGAAGATACGGGTTTTTTTGGTATGATTATAATAGTCTACACAGGTATCTGTAATTGGGAAAGGACTAGGTTACATTAAAATCATCAAACTCATGAAATTTAGTCACAATTATTGACGAGACAAATAATTAAATTTGGACATGTTCTTAAACTATTAGTTTGTATCTTTTCAAGTCTAAATTAACATTTGTGTGGTATCTGTGTAAAGTCTTGCCTACATTAAAGCTTTCTAGCCCTTTTAGGACACGTAAACTCTATGAAGAAATTGACCATATTAGTTGGGTGCCAGGGGCTCACACCTGTAATTCTATCTACTTGGGAAGCAGAGATGAGGAAGATTGCAGTTCAATGCCAGCTATGGGCAAATAGTCCAAGAGACCCTATCTCAAAAATACCCAATACAAAAAAAAAGGGCTGGTGGAGAGGCTCAAGTGGTAACGTGCCTGCTTAGTAATCATGAATCCCTGAGTCCAAAAACCCCAGTACCGCCAAAAAAAAAAGAGAGAGAAATTGACCATGTTATATAATTGCATTTGCCAGTGCTTTACACATAGTAGGCACTTAAATGTTTATCCATTGGTTATAAAACATTCATATTTTCATTCAGACTTCATGTATTTTCATGTAGATTATAAATTAGCCAGATTAAAGCCTTCAAAATAAAAGGAAGAGGTAAACTTAATGACATGACATCTCATTACATATCACATCTATTAGTTTCTCTTTCTTCTCTCTTTCTAGTTTCTTTTTTCCCTTCAGCACCACATAGACTATGCCACAGCCTCTGTATCTTTAACTTACTTGAATTAGAAGTTTCTACTTCATTTGTTTTATATTATAACTCCTGTCTTAGTCATTTGGGCTATTATAACTAAATACATTCAAACCCCAGTATTGCCAAACAAAATATTGTAAACCTGGAGTCTTATAAACAGAAAGTGATTTTTCACAGTTCTAGAGGCCAAGTCCAAGATCAAGGTGCCAACAGTTTCAGTGTATGGTGAGGACCCACTTTCTGGCTTCTCCATGGCACTTCTCCCAGTGTCTGCACAGGTGGAAGAACCCAGGCAGCTCTCTGGTACTCTGTTGTAAAGGCACTAATTCCATTTATGAAGGAGTCTGCCCTTATGAACACATCACCTCCCAAAGACTATTCTTACTGATGTGATGTTTAAGACCAGTTTTAACATAGGAATTTTGGGAGGACACAAAAATTCAGACCATGAATTTTTAAACTCTCTCTTTTCCCTTAGCACGACATTCCATACAGTAGGCTGTTCCTCTCCATTTTTCCCCCCCCTAGTTTCTTTCTCTTTTTTGTTTTGTTCTTTTTGGTGGAGCATCTATGGTATCTGTAACTGACTTGTGTGTCTTTTCACCATGTGTTCTTCCTGCCTTTTCTCTGAGTAACCTGTGTTTCCTTTCTTTGTGAAGAATTGCCTTCTCCTTGCTCTTTTCTTCCTCTAATATTGTGTCATACTTAGTACACTTCCTGTAGTTCCTCTTTATCTTGCAGAGTTCCTGGAACCCAGCTCATTTTCTATAGAAAATGTTTAGGCAGATGTTTGTAAGTTCAACTGGTTTACATTTCCCACTTCTGTTCTGGGCTCTTGAAGTGGACTCAGGCTGCTGCCTCCATGTGACCAGCCAGTTTCCTGGGCAGTTTGTGTAAACCTATTCTTTACCTTCCTCTGTTTGATTTGAGGGAGTACCACGTTTTATTTTTCTTTCCTGAAACTCACTAACTGGCTATATCACATTCAGATAGCTTCATGGGTCATCTACCTTTTGCTCATGGTGTAGCTCTGACAGCTTTTTGTGTCAGGCAAAACAATGTGTTTCCTAGTGATAACCGCATATTATCTACTTGTCTCAGGTGATTTTCAGTCTTGGATTCATTTCTGTCAGTCCATATGCCACTTACATTAGGCTAGTCAATATAGCTTAGGATAGCTTTCTTTACAATACAGTGAGTAGTGTATATTCCCAAAGAGACTGCAGGAATGTTTTAGCCTGGCCCTGCCCCAGTTACCCATCAGGCCTGGACCTGTAGGTCCATTTTTTCTCTTTCTTTCTTCCTCTCTTTCTTTTTCTTCAAACAGTCTCACTATTTAGCCTAGAATTCACTATGTAGCCTAGATTGGCCTTGAACTTGAGATCCTCCTATATCACACTTGAAGTGCTGAGATTATAGAGGTGTGCTCCACCTTGCCTGTCTAGGTCCAGTTTTTCTACCTTTCTGCAGACTTTTCTCAAGCCAGTGATTGGAATTTGTTCCATTTTAATTTGGATCAATTCTAGTTGATTAATCAGAATTACACTATCCTGAGACAGCAGTATGTACTGATCACAAAGCAAATCTCCCCCTGGAAAGGTCCTCTCATTGCCTTACCTTCACCAAAATTGAATATATGAATATATTCTCTTGCTTTTCTGCCTTTTGTCCTCTGGGATCTTCCATAAGTCCCACAAAAAAACAAAAACAAAATGAATACACCAGTGTAAGTTTCAGACTACAGAATAGCACCTCTGGATTCAGGCAGCCTGAGTGTGAGCCTTGGTTCTACTGGCTTTTTTTTTTTTTTTTGGTTTTGGTTTTTTGAGACATGTTTAGCTATGTAGCCCAGGCGGCCTTGAACTTTTGATCCTCCTGCCTCCTACTCCTGAGTATTGAGATATAGGCATGTACCACAACGCCCTACAAGATAACTGATTTTATTGAGTTATGTAAATTATTTTGTGTTGTATAAAGTATTTAGCATGGTTCTTGGGACATAATGAGATCAACAGATGTTAGGGATTGGCTTTTATTTTTCCTTCTCTTTTGGCCAGGGAGTTTGCAGAATGTTAGTGCTAGAAATGAACAAGCACAAGCAGAGTGCTTTGGTAATAACTTACATCCTAATTTTAATCACCCTCAATGGAAAGGTCCCACAGCACCCACACTAATGCCTTCCAAACACCAAATGGCTCTGGTGATACCAAGATGTGTATATACACTGTTATGTCAATGTACACGGGAAGGTGTTGCTAGTATACTGTTTAGTGGATAAGCTGATCATGACTTTAACTCTCACCATAAACAAAGACATTTATAGCCACATGTGATGATCATGCCTGCAATCCAGCATTTGAGAGGTGGAGGCAGGAGGAACACAAGTTTGAGGTACGCTTAGGCTATGTAGCAAGAACCTATCTTAATTAAAAAAAAAAAAAAAGGACATTTTAGCAAAATTACACAGGAGAAAACAATTCAAGCAAACTTGTATATAAGTGACTTTGTACTTGTCATAACTACTACATTAAAAGAGTAATTAGCTTTGAAGATAACAAACTAAGTCTGTGCTCACAGTATACCTCATAAGGTTGTTTTTGCGTTTTAACTTAATTTAATTTTAATTTTAAAAACCTACTGCACTTGAAGCTCTCTGGCAGTCTCCCCTCCAAGTGTTAACCAGGCCTGGCCTTGCTTAGCTTCCGAGATCGGAGGATATGGGGTGTTCGGGGTGGTATGACTCTAGGCCCCCATAAGGTTTTAATGAACAAAAATCTAAGCAGAGAGCCTGGAGGTGTGGCTGAAGTGGTAGAGTGCATGCCTTGCAAGTGCAAGGACTAGAGTTCAAACTCCAGTACCGGCCCAAAAAAAAAAAAAAATTTGCTGAGTGTTACACAAACTATTTTATGTGTTTAATGAGTCATAAAATGCCTATGTTTCT